TACCCACGCACCCAATACGTGAGTTTGCTGCAGCAGAAGGTCAGACAAGTTTCCAGAATGGTTTTTCTCTACCAATATTTAGGAGAGTATTACCTATTACATCCATGGAGTGAAATTTTAACAGTAAACTAGAATCAGTAGGGAAAAAAAAGCAGCACTGGTTCTAGAGGTCAAGAACAGTGAACAGAATCCATTCTATAGCTTGGGACATCAGCCTCTCACAAGAAGAGCATTTGGTATTTCTTGTTCTGTATATAAAAGTAAAATTGGGCTAGTACCCTACATCCCTGCATGCAGAAGATGCTTTGTCAGACTGAGTCATTGGTGGTTTATCTGTTATTAGCAGCAACATTCTTGCTGCGTTTAGCTGTTTCGTAAGCCCAGTAAATAGTCATGCAATGTGGTGAAAAAAAAAGTCCCATTCTGTAGGTGAACAGCCTCTTGAACAACAGGCTCTCCTCCCCACTTTTCAAGTCCAGTGTCACGCCATATCTTCACCTACAGTGGAGTCTATAAAGTCCCGGCAGCAATAGCGGACATGCCCAAAACACCGTCAGTTTCTTAAAGCCCTAGAAGTGAGATTATTTTTTTTTTCAGGATCCTGGTGGTGCTCTACAGGAGCTCATAATCCATAAACGGAAGCCTCTACCACCAGCTTGGCAAGGGTGGAGAAGAATCACGCTCTCCTCTGTACCTGCTATGAGGGAGACGCAGGAGCACACATCCTTCAGTTCCTGTGACTGCCACTGTGACAAGAAATTGCAACTAGTCTCTCATGGGACGCAGTTGGAGTCTGGCATGCTGAGGCTGCATAACCTAGACACGGGGACTTCACATGTCTGAGCATTTATAGGTGACCTTACAGTGAACTGACAAGATCCATCACCATCCCGATTCCCTTTTGTGGAATTCATCACTGCCTGTAGGACTTACATTCCTGGGAAATCGTGATGAGTTTTGCTGATCCTGAGACTCAGTGCAAGGAAAAGATACAAAGCAAATGAACAGGTCTATTCACTATAGCTACCAAATGAGCTAAGCATTAGGGAACAGGTCAACTTGGCTCCCTTTCCTCATCACTTAACCAGCCACAACTGCCAAGCACATGGACCACAAATACACAGGAATTTAATCAGAACTAGAGATGGAATTCTGCTCAGCCAACTCTGGACACCTATGTCTTACCCACGCACCCAATACGTGAGTTTGCTCTGGGCTATGTCTCTGGGCTAACTATTCAATTCCTTTCTGAGTCAACGGAAAAAAAAAGAGCATCCCAAATCTGACCTATTTTAGACATCGAGATTAGGATAAGATGAAAGAAGCACCTCTCCAGTGAGAGGAGAGCTGGGTGAATGCCTTGGAAGCAGTGGTCTTACAAAACAAGTGTCAACACGCAGGCGACATGAGTCCCACCCTAAGCATGCATACAGTTCACGCACTCTGTCATTTACCTTTTATAAATTTGTGATAAAGAAAAGGGAAATTCCCCAGGAAAGGTCTTCCATCGATCCCACATTTAGAAGGGAGTTTACTTCTGGCTTTATCATTATCTTACGATAGCAGTCCCTGACACGGCACAGTAACAGGGGAAGGGAGATGCAAAGAAACGAAAACCAAATGGAATATTCCCTGATGACAATGGCGAGGGGACTTTCTAACATCAAATGAAGAAGCAACAGAGTTTCTCACCTCTGAAAAGAATCCACTTCTTGGAGGAATTTTTCACACATCCCAAAAAGGGGTTCCACTCTGCAATAAAGATAACATTCCTTGTTTTAGTTTTAAATAAAGAGAACCTGCTCTATGGCTATAAGCATTTAGGTGTTTTGGAATCCAGTTCAAGCTCCTAAAAACTACAAGACCTTAAAATTTTGAGGCCAGAAAGGTTGTTTCCCACAAGAGAAAAAACAAACATAAAAATTAATTGCCATCTCCCTCCCCACATCCATAAGCCCCTCTCACAAAAAATCATTTGCATAAGGCACTAATTAAGTTCCCAAAGCCACTGCTAGAAAATATTAACTTTCCACCTATAAAACAAGAGGTTAAAAGGCAAATATATTATGGACCCCTATGGCAACACAGTAAATTGATGGTAACAAACTCAAAACAAAAGTATACAAATTAGGATACTAACCACTTTGCTCTAATTCCACCAAAGGGAGTTCTAATTCTACAACCATCCAAACCCAGGTGTAACTTCACTGACCTCAGCAGCCAAAACAAACCACACAGAGCCTCTCGTGTTACCCAAGCCACGCATACATGTGAGCGTTTTGTGTCCGAGTCACACAAACATTAGTTGCAGATCAGTCAAAAAGACAATTCTTTTCTGATGCTAAAAACTCCGCAAGTAATAATGAAGCAAACACGATTAGTGCATTTTTTGATACACGACTTTTTCTCATTTAAACAGCTCCCAAATATCAACTCACAACATTTTTAACCTATTTATATGTTCATAGCTGAGAGAACTCAACCCCCAAAACACATCTTCCTAATAATTTTGTCATCTAATTTAGTATTGTGTCACTACACAGCTACACCAAAGGCAAAAGAAGGCTCTTGATTCCGAATTATTTTAGCAAATGGTTATTGGCATGCTGTCATGTTTTAGGTGTCTAATTTCTGCTTTTAAACAAAGCTTAAGGAAAGTAAACTTGCAGTTAACCCTAAGCAGATCCTTCTCCCAGGTCATCCTTACCCTCTGGTGGTACGTGCAGTCACTATAAGCTGCAACGCCTTCGCCTGCAGTCTCATGTGGTGGATAATGACCACTTGTCTACTTTCCACTCCGCTGTACATGAACTCCATTTTATAAGTTTCTTCCAAGACCTGTCAGACGGACACCACAGGGGTAAAAAACCATCAGACTCTGTTAAACTCTCGCATAAGCACAAGACTCTGGTATTTTTCCTTATACCAAGGAACACATAATCCACAAGTCTCATTCTTTCGGTGAAATTCTTCACGGCGTAAAGCAGCACCTAATACTACAAGGTTATTTTGGCTATATTAAAGAAACAATTCATGAAACTTGGCCTGAAATCAAGCACTCCCTCCAATGGCAGTCTATCTTTTGAGACTTTGCATTTTAAATTTCTAGGGGTTCACCGACTCCCCACTGGCTACTCTGGAATACAAAACTGAGCAGCACAACAGAGCAACCTCAGTGGTCCTGCTCAGGTTTACATTTTTGGAGGTAGATTTGACAAGTTCGCTTGAAAACAACTTTACATTCAACAACGCTTTGTACTGTGGCTCAAGATGGAAACTATCACAAGATAAGTATAATTTTGGGTTCTTTTAGATACACGGTTAAAAGCTTAGACAGGACATTGCACAGTTTTACTCATCATAGTTTATCTGTTGAATAGATAGGCTTAAGTAGACAAAAGAAGTACTCAAATTAATACAGCTGAGTTCAGTATGACCGTATAAAAGCCAAGAACTTGCAAGTGATTTAATAGGAAATATTCCCTCACCTCACATTGACGGGAAGTGATCTACATTCACAATCACAACAGATAAAACTTCCCAGGGGGTTCACATGCTACTGAGAAGAGCACCCAAGACAGACAGTTCAATTAGAGAAGATTTAAAAAGTTGATAGGCTTTTGTTTCTACTCATCCCTGGGGACAACTGTCAACAGCACAGAAGGTTTTGATGCACAGCAGTACCTGCCTCTTACTACATCTTAATTAACTGAAGACTCAAAATGTCAGCATAGTTTCCCAGCAGATCCATGAACTTGCTTTTACTCTAGATTTGTTTCCAGATTATTTAATAGTTTGCTTTCTCCTTTACCTTTTCTTAGGGCTTAGCTTCAATTTTTCCAGGATCAGATCATTTATATGCCACAGAACCAGAATAACTCAGGTTGGGTGGGAACTCCAGAGGTCGTCTAACCTGGTCCCCTGCTCAGAGCAGGTTTAATTAGATCCAGTTACTCAGGGCCACATCAAATTGTGAACACTTCCAAGGACAGAGATTTTTTCCCCCACCTCTCTGGGCAACCTGTTACAGCATTTAACCACCCTTATGGTAAATTTCCCCCCCTTTATATCTAATCAAAATTCCTCATATTCCAATTTGTGCCCACTGCCTTTCGTCCAGAGCAGTCTGGCTCTGTCTCATCTATATCCTACGATGAGGCAGTGACAGACAGCAGTAAATCCACCTGAAGCTTTCTCTTCTCCAGTTTGGACAAGCCCAGTTCCCTCAGCTTCTCCTTGCAGGGAATACGCTCCAGCCCCTGACTGCCTTGGTGGCCCTCCAGCCTCCCCGCTGGCTCCTCAGTTTGGAGGAGCTGTATCTCCCACGTATCCAGCCAGTTTGGTGAAAAGGAAACAACAGGAGACTGCGTTAAAGGCTTTGCTAAAGTCAAGAGATACGACATCCACTGTCCTCCCCTTGTTCACAGCACCAGTCCCCTCACCGTAGAGGGCAATGGTGTTGGTCAGGCATAATTTGCCCTCAGGAAATACATTTTGGCTGTTCCAAATCATCCTGTTGACCTTCGCTTGTTTAGAAAGGGCTTTTAAGAGGATTTGGTCCATAACCTTCCCCAGGCATGAGGTAAGGACAAGCAGCCCACAGTTTTCTGGATCTTCTTTCTCACTGTTTTGGAAGCTGGATGCGATGTTTACCTTTTTACAGTTGTCATGAACCTCCCCCACTCACCACTCATCTTTTGAAGATGACAGAAATTACTCCACTTTGGGGAACTAAGATTTATGTGGACAGACTAGGGCAGTGGAAGGTCAGAAGTGTTATTACTGTTGCATGGCCAAGGAAGGGCTCATATCTGAGGACCTGCCTCCACGCAGACTCAGCTGCTTCTACCTCACCTGTTTTGCTGCAGCAGATGCTAACGCATTCTGTTTCAGGTACAGAGGAGCTGCCACGTTCCACAGCTTCTCCTGCAAGGCCTACAGAAGAAAACCATGAAATTATGATAAATATCCAGTTCAGTCTAAACATTATAACGCTGTGCTCGATGGGCTTGGGAGCAGGGAAGATGTCCTTTCTCTCAGCTGTACACCAACAGGTTGGTTGAAAAAGCAGGCCAAAGTTTTCTTTTGTGCTTTTAAATACAACATCGGGAATCAAGGCCTCCAAAATATGTATTGTTCTATAAATACACAGAGGTACCTATACAACTATAAAATATAAAACAGAAGTTGAGAATAATATTAACAAAGCTATGAATTAAGAGACTGGCTGAGCCAAACTCTTTGTACTTTTTAAGGAGAACTTTATGCAGAATGCGGTCACTTATCAGAAAAACAACAGGGCACTGCTTTATCACCTCCCTGAGGCCAAGATCAGGGCAATCTCAGATTGCAGGCAAAAAGTGGAAACAAGAACAACTGTCCCCAGAAACACACCTACGCAGTCATATTTCTGAACTTTTCTGTTGACAGTCTCCGCCCCACCAAAGATCCTGGAGTTACTATGAATACTGAGTGTAAATCAGCTACTGATACTTGTATTAAAAGAAAACAAAAAGCACCCAACCACACCCTATTTGCTTTTTGATTTACGTTTTTAAAAAAAATTTAAGAAAGCTTGATTGAATGATTTGTAATACTGCCTCCTTTTTGACACTGCCTGTCCTTAGATACAGCAACACACAAAGCTGGCTGTAGCCAAAGCTCAAGGCTTTATCCTTCATCTAGGCTGGCCCCAGAATCCCAGTTAACTACCCCTAAAATCACAGGGTATGTAGAGCCTTTAAAGGTCTGGAACCTTTGGGCCTCAAGAGGCTCGGAAATGAAGATAATTTTTTCCCCCCAACAGCTTCTTTCTGTTGCGGGAAGCAGAAATTGGAAAGAAATCTACTGAAAAGGGCTGCTCCAACATTCAGGATCTCTCTGCCGTATCAGAATTTCTAATTGTATGATATTACAAGTTATTTTTCATTTCAGCCACATTACTGACTCCCCTGCATCACTGCCAAGAATGGCTGACGCAGCTTTTACCCCCTTCTTCCAAACAGAGTGCTCCTCTGCCAGATACACAAACCATCTGGTTCGCTCCACTCAAAGCCTGGAGAAGGGCAACAAAGCCACCTCCAAATGCTGGTCCTCTGCCCGGATAGCACATTTCACTTTGGCAAAAGTTTGGGATTTAGCTAGGACTGTACTGAAGTGTAACACCGCTCATCTAAAATACCTTCCTTGAGTGACAGATGTATTTTAAGGATTTGAGGGCTGCCATGAGATACGCCAACTGGCAGCTACGCATTTAGCAAAGAAACTGAAATCCCTTCCTGGTTTTACATAACAAAGCTTTTTTTGAGCCCCTTCTGGAAACCTGTTTGTTGCTTGCTTTAGTTCTTGCTTTACATGTGTATAAGTTACATTCAAACACCTAAAGAATGCCAGGAGACTAACTTAAATACTACTGCCAGCTTATAGCTTGACAAGTGAAGCAAAAAATTAGTTCCTGTTTACAGCAAGAAGCTGACTTTGAAAAGGGTTGCTGCCATGGTGTCAGAGTAAACATTTCATCTGCTAATACCAAATAGATAGATCATTTCGGCACTGTCAAAGAAAGCACGACTGATATTTTGCTCAAATCTAAAGAATTCCTTTGGCATTGGTGCCAAAAACTCTGTCTACAAACCATTGTATACAAAAACTCCACTTATAGCAGCAGTTTAGTAAAAAGCATTCCAGTGGCTACAAGCAGAGAAAAGTTGCTCTCGTAACATAAAAGGCTGCAGAGCAGTTGCCTCCATTGTGATTTCTGTCAGAAAATAAGCTCTGCACTGGCAAAAGGCACATGAACCAACATAAGCCCTAGGTACAACAGCAGAGATTTGCACTGGCATACTCACTGGCAAAGTTTCCGCATAAATTATTTGCCACAGGAGGGAAGCAGGATTATCAGAAATCCATGGAACCTACACTTTCATCCTACATCAGTTTTCAGCACGAACACCAAAACATGAAAGTGTACCACTGTGATGGACTGGGGGCATTTTTGAAGAACATCCCAAAAAACCCAGATGAAGTCAAACCTTGATGAGGAGCAGCTGACACTGAAGGTAAGTCGCAGTGAAATCTGCCATCCCTGCCAGCTCTGACTGCAGTTCTCCAAGCCTCTGAAGATCACTGAAGCATGTGGAGGGGAAAAAGAAAAAAAAAAGAAAAAAAAGGAAAAAAAAACAATGTTGAGACACCCAGCAGGTTAATCTAAATGCACTCAGAACACAGCAATGATGAAGCCAGTTATTCCTGCACCTTGCTTTTCTTATCCTTAGAATAAGCACCAGAAACAGTAGCAAAACCTGCAGTACAAAACAGTTTGCAGCTTGGGACTTGGCATGTCCTTTCTTCCTGAAGGCTGACAGGAGCAGAGTGGTGGAAGCAGTTAAGTCTGTCAACCCACATTACTCTGCAGCCCTATGGGAACCATACAGCGTAGCAGTTCCAGATTTAACTTAAAACACTCCAGACTTCTACAGCAGCTAACGACCCATTTGCGTTACACTGCTGGGAAATCTAACTATTCATGTTGGCTAGCGAAGGTTGTTTGGAACATGTCAGGCTCACGCAACCAAATATATTTAAAATATAGCTGCCTTTTTAAGCCAAGCTGAAATCTGATGTACTGATATTTGCCCAACTAGCTGTTGTGTGTTGTCTGGTCTAAGTATTTCTTGTAAATCTTACAGCAAGAGAAGTAGCTTTTAACTTGATAGAAAAAAAATGACAGTTAATGGAACCCCAAAAGGCTTTAGTTCTCTACTCTTAGACATGTTTTAAAATCAAAAGTGTGTATTAAGAAAATAAAACTCATTTTTTGTTACAGAACTGAAAATGGGTTGGATGATGTGGATTCAACACGTCTCTGTTCTTCTCTGTGTTTTGCTTTGATCCAAAGTGTACTAAAATTGTCACTCTACCTCCATGTTTTCTACTGTATTATTAAAAATATTTTTTTTCTTCAGATGACCCTTTCCTTTTGTTTATTTTAGATTTATCTTTGCATTTATGATGCCATTCGAAACTCTGGCTCTGCCAAACTGGAAGGTTGCTGAGTGCTGATACACTAAAAAAATTTCATGAGATTATACGCATAATTTGCAGCCAAAGAATATCTCTCCTAAGCAGAGGGACTGTGCCTTCCTTCAATGCAACAACAGTAGAGCCAGGTTGAGCCTTACAGACTGACTCCATTTCATCTTTTCCCAGAGAGCAGAGAGAAGAGGACACTCCTGGGTGCTTAATTCCCATGTCATACTTAACGCATCACAACGTGCTAACGGGGAACAGAATGTCATCTCTCAGCTAACAGCTAGGCAGATATCCCATTTCCCGATCATCTACAGTTCCCAATTCCACTAATTCTATTTCCTTACAAATGTTAAGCAGATTTCGACATCCCTACAAGACAAAAAAACCCCCTCCTGTTGTATAGATGGAGAAACTAAACCACAAAGACCGATTTGCTAAAAAGCCCATGTTACAGTTTCAGCTGCAGAGCCTGGGGAAGAGCAGTAGTCTTGAGCGTGGTCAGAAATCTAAGGTCGAAGTAGACACCAGCTCCACGAGCTCTGCATTACTTCCCCCAAGGACAATAAAGATAAAGGAGGAGGGAGTTACATCCCACCACGGAATCCACTGCTGTGAGCTGCTTCTATCCCTTTCCTCTCAGCAACCAAATTGTTGGCGCAGGAAACTCTTCCCCTCTGCAAAATAACCTTTAACACTTTTATTAGTTTTGTCTTAAATCCTCCCTTAAGGGTGGAAAACAGCAGCTGGTTTAGTATGGTTCCTGGGTGGTGATCCCAGCAGGAAAAAAGCCAAGCCAATAATTTCCACCATCTCCAAAGCATTACTGTCCTTTACTGCATATAAATCACACATGCAGTCATCTCCAACGTGAGTCCTACATCCAAAATCGAAAACATTCATGGCCTGATAGGTTTCCAGACCTTCATCGTGCCTATAAGATTCCGGATGCTCTGCCAAGAGATGACCTATTTCAAGTGTTTAGTACATTAAATGCTTTGAGACTATGTTTTAGGCGGCACACAGCAGCTTCAAAACAGCTGATGACAAACCATATAGTTTTCACAGTTGGGTTTTCAGTGAGGAGCACGCTGTTTATTCGCCACCGGAGGTGGGTGTGAAAGCGATTCACAGCTACCCATACAGAAAAGGCAGCTATTTTGGGGAAAGAAAAAGAAGAAAGCTTTTTGGAATTCCATATTTCAAAGTATTTTAGATTTTCTAACTCTCCAGATAAGGCTCTTACGCTCTTTCCAAGCAGAGGAATCACATTGAAAGGATCCTTTTCAAGTGTTTTGTTTGCATAAATCAGTCTAGAGATGAAATGGAAGAGGCAGCATAAAACCCACTTTCAGAAGCCATACCGTACACCCTTATCTATACAACAGCAGACAGCAACACGCAATAATGTCTATTCCAGGAAAATATCTCTGATTTTCAAACTGACGAAGGATGCCAAAGTCCTTTAGAAGTGGGATTGGCAGGCCACAGGACCTGGAAATTAGAAGAGCAAAGGGGACAACCTCTATCTTCCCACAAAAATTAAACAAAAAACCCCTCTGAGCATATACATTAAAAATAATACGATCAAAGTGAGGGTCTCATGCAGGGACAGAGAACTAAGAATGACACACGAGGTTGTCATCCATAAAAACTGAAAGTGTATTTTACCATAAACGAACAGTCCAAGAAGAGCACCCTTACCTGACTCTTACCGTGCTCTGAAAAGATGTTCCCCTAAAACTCACACTGATTATTCAGTGTGGCGGAGCCAGAGCCGAGACCATCAGTTTTGTTTCAAACAGGCCGTGAATACCTTTTTAGCATAATGCTCTCTACAAAAGCTCTCAGGCTAAGTGGACAGCGAAGTACAAAACTAATATTCAGAACCAAATTACCTGCTTCAGAGAAATTAGGAATCCTAACCAACCTTCCCACAAACAGATCAGCTTGCAGCCTTACCGGATGGTAAATTCCAGTAGCTCCTGTATGCCCTGTGGGTCGAGGTGCTGAAGGTTGTAAACCCTCTCCAGGCTCTGGTGCAAAAACTGCTGGGAAGGATCTTCATGTGGTGTAATACTGGGAGAGACAGGGGAGGACACCAGCTTCCTACCTGGCAACTAAGCAAGAAGAAACATATGCGAACAATAGAAAAAAAAAAAAAAAAAGAGAAAAGTCTAACACAAGTAACAACACTGCAAAATGCTGACACATTATTTAACAACTACCAACTGAGAGCTCCAATTCGTTTCTCAAATTCAGAATTTATATCAAGACTTTCAAGTCTGCATCTTTCTTAGTTAACGCTCCCCATTTTATAACCCACTTGCAGCTAGAGATCTTCAGGTTAAACTTCAACATCCCTTTGAGGGAAAAACCTTCCTCATCTATTAACTATGACACTGTGAAGTCAAGGGAAGCCCAAGACCATGTAAACCACAATTCATTTTATGAGTTGTAATAAGACTTACAACCAACTTCAGTCCTACCTGTACTTCCACGTAGGAAAAACATGCTTCAAAACATCAGGGAACACATCTTACCCATGAGTAAACAGTTTAGGTAGGACACAAGTCAAATGCTGGAAGATCTACAAAGGCTAAGCTCCCCTTCCCCACAGTCAGAGCTACAGAAAGCTCCCAGAAATCCTGCCCTCCCAGTATTCCTTCTAACCAGCAAACCATGTGTTAGTCTCACTTGAGAGCAATAACATTATTATTATCCCCAAAATACTACAAATGTAACAATTTAATATTTGGCTCTCCATACTTAATGTACATTTCAATATTCATTTGCTTGGTGCTTGGGAGAAAAAAAACCTTTTAGAATCAAAGCGTTACATGTAACAGATGTGGAAGAGACCAACAATATTCATAACAGAGCGGCTAAGTGCAAACAAAAGTGGTTCAACTTACTCTTAACGGAGGGACCAGATGAGAGAGACTGTCCCGAAGATAGGCGTAATGTCTGAATGTATGATCAGAGAACAGGGCCGGCATTGTTGGGCAACTTTTAGCAGCATTAAAAATCAGAACCAGAACAGCGATGTCTATTGAAATGGATTGTTAAAGAAAAATAAACAACAGCAAGAGCAGCTCCTTGGGGATGGCAACTTAAAACAACAACTCAACAACCCTTTCTTTGCTGGAGATTTGTTTTGGAGGTTCTAAATAGTTGAAAAATGCTGAGCAAAACCCAAAGAGGCAGCTGTCTGAGCAGATGAAAACCAAGTACAAAGCGTAAACATTGCAGGATTGGCCATATTGGAGGCAGGATGTTACTGCCAAAGTGGGATGGCTCAGAGGCAACACAAAGGATAGAAGCCAGAGATCACAAATGCAGAACATGCTCATTAGGTGGAGTTTCACTCTTCCTCAAAGCTTACACTCTGCTTACCAGTTTGGTACCCAAACACCATCTAAAAATCAAACATTTATCTCTGAGTCTTTAAAAATCACTGCATTTCCTACAATGCCCTGAAAGACATCCCTCTTACACAGACTTAAAACAAACCAAAGAATCAAACAAGGGATGATGATTCTGGAATGGAAAACACATTTTCACAGTCTGAGAGCCTGAGAAATACAGAGGGCAGCCAAGGCTTTAACCAGTTAGCCCAAAGGCTGGGGCACTCACCCGCAACAGGGTGCTGTGGTTTAACCTCAGCAACTAAGCACCATGCAGCCACTCGCTTGCTCCTCACCCCCCGCCACCAGTGGGATGAGGAAGAGAATGAGAAAAAAGGAAAAACCTTTGGGTTGAGATAAGCACAGTTTAATAATT